TCTGCAAATAAAGTACATTTCAACAACACTGACACATTAACCAAATCATTTACATACAAAATAAATACCTTTGGTCCAAGTACAGAACCCTGTGGAACTCCACATGTGATATTACTGAGTTCAAATCTTACATCATTTATTTGAACAAACTGTTTCCTATTATTAGATACCTAGATATCCACTGTAGTGCTGGACCTTTGATACCATATTTATTTAGTTTTTCAAGAAGAATACTGTGGTCAGTGGTGTCAAATACTTTCCTTAAATCCACATAAATACTAGCACAGTACTGTTTTTGCTCAGTATAGTAATTTATATATATATATTTTTTTATTGAAGCTCACATGCTAAATAACTTCACCGCCTGTTTTGTGACTTTTCTTCACAGCGGTGGGATGAACTCTCAGTACATGAACCAAGCTGCTGGACTTCCTTATCCTCCCCAGGCGGGTGTGGTCATGGATATGTCAGCCTATCACAACTCTAGCATGCCTCCTGTGTCTTACGCCGTGTCTGGCCCCCCTCACCAGGCTGCTCCTCAGCCACAGCAGCAGCAGCCAGCAGTGTATTACCAGCAGCCTCTGCTGTAAGCAGGCCTTAAGAAGCACACCTCAGATAACTCTCTTACTGTCTGGTCAGAATAAGTCCTTCAGCCTTATTGTTTCAGTCAGGTTGGGCTTTCAACACTGCAGAGAAGTTGTAGTAACAGTTCCGTGGCTCTGCATCTGAACTTCAGGTTTTCCTCAGTCCTTGAGCAGTTCATCACAGGAGAACAGCTGGGTTTATCTCTGAGCAGAACCATGYCATTTACACTATTGTACAATATTTCCTGATTATGTTTCAAGAATATGTAGAAAATGTCATAGAGCTGTATAAAGATGGTTGGTTGACAGAAATGTAGATAAACTGAAAAAAAGTCTATATAGTTCTTGTATTTGCAGATTATTTTTCTTCTAGTCATGTAGACAAAGCAACACATGCAGCTCCAAACCTTCTGTTCATCCTCAGCATGCTGGTGCAGTAGACTCACAAAAACAACAGAGCTATTACACTGCAAAAACTGTCCATCTTACCAAGTTTTAAAACCTTATATCAGCCAAAAAGTCTTTTTGATCTTGTTTTCAGACTGATTTACTAAACAAGAACTGATTGTGTAAGAATAATCATCTTGTTTTCAGACTGATTTACTAAACAAGAACTGATTGTGTA